TAGATAAAAAAATAAATATTATATTAGATAATTTTATTGTAAAATATCTAAAAACTGATGAACTAGAATCTAAAATAAATAAAGTGGTTATAGTTAATGAAGAAATAAAAAAAGTTCATTAATATAAAATAAACATTGTATTCATTCATTTATAAATAAATAATAAAATAAAATATCAATCTCTGGAGAACTAGACCAAATCGTAAATGAATTAGAAGCTTTAAAAATTAAAAATAAAACCCTTAAAAACGAAAATAAAAATTTTCAAAATATCGATGAAATATGTAAAAAACTCACTGAAGAAAATGAAAAACTCTCTTTAATAAACAAAAAACTAATGAAAAAAAATGACAAACTTGTTCTTGAAGTATATGGAAATAGTTTAACTATTTATGATGAACTAAACAAAGGAATAAGAAAATCGCTAGAATATTTGGATAAAAAAATTGATAACTGCTTAACTTTATTAAGAATTAACTTTTCGGATGCTGATATAAATAAAATAGATAAAATCATTTCAGCTAGTAAAAACCTCAAAACAATACAAGAATGATTTCTGCCCAATTACAACAAATTCAAGATGAAATAAACCGATTGAAGAAAGAAAATGAAAAACTGGAAAATGAAAATGATCAAATATTAAAAAAAAAGTCAATATGATAAATTATTAAAAACAAACCAGAAACTATGAAAAGAAAATGAAATCGCTGTTAATCAGAACCAAAGATTAACTGAAAAAAAAAATAAAATAATAAAAAAACTCCATGAAACAAAAGCAGAATATGAAGAAAAAGAAAAAATATTTATTATCTTGGATAAAAAATTAGATATTATACTAGCTAATTTTAATTTTGAAATAATTCCTTTAAATGAAACGATACTAAAGAAAAAATGGAAAAAATCATTGAATTATGTAACAAAATTACACAAATAAATCAAAATTAGGTTTTTTTTTATTAATATATAAATAAAATAAAAAATTTTTCTCTCAATAAAATGTCACTTAGTTCCAATAAACTGAATAGAATTCAAAAAATTATAAATGACTTAAATAAAGAAAAAACTATTTTAGAAAATACTATCTCTATATGTAAAAATAAAATTAAAGACCGTGAACAAAACAAAAAAATTAACCAAGACCTAAAAAATCTAGAATACGAATATTATTCTTTAAAAAGATCTTTAAAAAATAAATTAGAACAAATCAAAAAAGAAAAAAAAATCAATATCGAAGTACAAAAAACAATTGAGATATTAAATCAAAAAGCTGATATTGTGTTGAAAAACTTTAACAAAATAATAGTATTCCCTACTTTGAGAAATAAATTAGCTTTAATTAAAGAAATTAGCGAAAATTATAAATGAATTTCTCAAAAAAAATCGAAAACCTTCAAGAACTCATCGATAAAATAAGAAACGAAAATAAACTCTTGATAAAAAAAAAGATGAATGTGAAAAAACAAACTTCGCTAATTAACAAATAATCGATGAAAATAAAAACTTAGAAGAAAAACATTTTGAAAAAAAATATCAGAAATAATGGTAGAAATAACTAATGCAAACAGAGAACTTGGAGGTTTTTTAAAAAATAATAATCTTGAAAAGAAAAAACACGTATAGATGAATCGTTAGATAATTTTAAAATAATCTACAATAAAACCAATTCATTAGAAACTAAAATAGATCTTATCGTAGAATTTAGCAAAACAATTAATAATAATTATAAATAAATTTTTTACACAAACAATATATTATTACTATATTTAGATTCATTAAATGTAGATTTTTTTCCTACATTTAATGAATCTAAATATAGTAATTGTATGAAATAAATTATTTAAATAAAAGAATTTTCTTCATAAATAAAATTAGTATTAGAAAGACTTCTATATATAAAAATTTTTAATAAATATAAAACAATGCTTTTACTTTAATCAAATATAAATAAATCTGCAAACAAAACAATAGAAAGTATGTAAAATAATGGTTATTATTTCATATTGTTCTAAAATTGATGTTTATTAATACTTTTTAAGTACTTTGAATATTTTATTACACTAAGTTATTTATATATGCACAATTATATGATGATAATAGTAAAAAAGAAAATGAAATGTCACTTAAATAAATAACATAAAATTAGTACAGAAACAATCTTTTAAGTTTTGATAAATATTTAAATTTTTACTAGAAATAAAATAAATTAATTTATTTAATTAAATAAGAAACAAAAACTAAATCAAATTAAATTTCTAACAATGTGTTGGATCTGTGGTGGATGGTATTGGCTTGGTATCCCTCATAGACGTGGAGGTGGAAATGAAAGACGTGGAGGTGGAGGATAGAGACGTCAAAATAGAGTTAATCATACCAATACTGTTTATTATACCAATACTGTTTATCAAACAACCGTAATTGATCATACAGATTATAGAAAAATTAATGAATTAGAAACTCAATTATCTGAAATAACAAAAAATAGAGATGATTAGAAAAAACAATCTGAAAAATGGAAAGCAAGTTCTGAAAAATGGGAAAAACACACTAATGAATAAGAAAAATATTCTAATGAATGGGAAAAATATGCTAAAGGATGTGAAAAACAAGCTAATGAATGTGAAAAACATAAAAAAGAAGTGGAAAATAAAATTAACGAAATTATAACAACCCATCTCAACATAAATATAACTGAAGCCGAAAAACTAACCACAGTTGGAAAATTAGATACGATCCTAAATACTATAAAACAAAAAGTAAAAGAATATTTAAAATTGCTTGAAATCTTTTTTCAAACTGGTGATAGTTTGATGTCTATGCTTAAAAAATTAGTAAAAGCCTGTGAAGAAATTGGAATAACCGGTCCTGTTCAAGAAATGTTATTAAGATGTCTAAAAATGTTGAATCCTAAAACTCAAATAAATGATCCTAAATCATTTGATGGAAAACTAGAATATGGAAGTATAGATGTTTTGGTAAAAACTTGCTATGAAAACAGTAGATATATTATAAACAAAGAACGATTTGAAGATAGATACAAAATTAGTTTTGTAAGAAAATTAATGAGATGTTATTATTATTTAGTCAGAAAAAGCAACCCATTAAGCGTAAAAACAATGGCTAAAAATCTATTCAAAATAAATGATCCAGAAAGTGAAAAAATGTTTAACAGGAAAATATGGAAAAATATCATTAAAAAAGAATATAACTCATTTCCTGTTTTTAATCCCAAATACAATTATATTAACATAATAGTAAAAGAGTTAGGTTACAATTCGTGGGATACACTTAAATATGATGAAAGTTTTTCTGAAAAATTACATCATTGTCATAGATATTTACAAGTCGAAATAAATGAAAACGCAGAAGAAGGTATAAATGATATGAGTGTTGATTACTTATTCGAACCAAATTCTCTTTCTATTTATCAGAATAGATAAAAAGGAATGCCAGGTAAATTTTATTTTTATGAATTTATTTATTTCTTTTGTTTTTTGTTTTTAAATTACATTATCATTTAGATTATCAAGAAAAATATACAACTCCTGAAGAACTTCAAAGAATTGTTTTATTAAAGAATAAAAAAAATAAATAATTTTTTTTAGTTAAATATATTATTTATACGTATAATTAAAAAGAAATTACAATTTATATTATTAGTTTAAACATATTTTTTATAAATAAACAGTTTATTTTCTATAAAAATTAAATTAAATTGAAATGTCCGAAAATATTGAAAACGTACGTACAAGAGTTCTTCAAATCCCAAGTGGTTCAGGAGAACTCGATCACATACAAAGAATTATTAATACTCTAAGTGCTGATAATAAAAAACTACAAGATGAAATAGAACTTTTAAAATTGAACAACCCTCTGTTAGAACAAGAAAATAAAGACTTAAAAGAAGCAAATGACAATTTAAAAAAAGAAAATGATAATTTAAAAACATCAAATGATGGATTAAAAAAAGAAAATGAAGAATTAAAAAATGAAATTAAACTGCTTACTGATAAAATTCATGATTTGAAAGAAGAAAATAAAAAAATTAAAGCAGAAAATGAAGAAAATACAAAAGAAAATTTGAGTTACGAAGAAACTTTAAAA